AGGTAGACAGCTAACAAGAGTTCAAGAGATTAAAGAAGGTATTGCCAACTATTTTGAAGAGTTATTTAACGAGGATGATTGGCAAAGATCGGTTCTAGATGGTGTGACATTTAGACAAATCTCTGTTGAACAAAATACTGCACTAATCAAGTGATTCAGTGAAGAAGAAGTAAAGGCAATGGTGTGGGATTGTGGTAGTGATAAATCTCCAGGCCCAGACGGGTTTAACTTTAGATTCTTCAAGGAATTCTGGAATGAGATAAAGGAGGATGTGATTGGGTTTGCTTAGGAGTTTCAAAAGAATGGGAAACTAAGTAGAGGGTTAAATGCTTCCTTCATTACTTTAATTCCAAAGGTATCTAACCCCCAAAAAAATGAAGAATACAGGCCAATATCATTGATTAGGGCTATGTACAAAATCATTGCCAAGATACTAGCTAACAAAATCAGAGTGGTGCTCCTAGAGGTGATAGGTGAGTAACAGATGGTGTTCCTTGAAGGAAGACAATTAATCGAATGGGTGGTACTAGCAAACGAGATTATTGATGAAGCTAGGAAGAAAAGAAAAGACAATTTTGTGTTGAAAGTTGATTTTGAGAAAGCATATGATAACGTTTGTTGGAAGTTTTTAGACTGCATGCTAAGGAGACTCGGTTTTGGAATCAAATGGAGAGGCTAGATCGACGAATGTCTGCAAACAAGCTCACTATCAGTTCTGGTAAACAGAATTCCTTCTAGACAATTTGTGGTGTCTAAAGGATTGAAACAGGGCGACTCGTAGTCTCCATTCTTGTTCCTTGTTGTTGTCGAAGGCCTTAATGAAATTATAAAGTCAATAGTTGAAAAAGGGTTGTTCGAAGGAATTGAGGTAAGACAAAATAGTGTGAAATTCTCTTATATACAATTTGCAAATGATACCATCATGTTTAGGAAAGCTACAGAGAAAAATGTATGGGCTACTAAGTGTATTATGAGGTTATTTGAGCTTATGTCATGCCTCAAAATTAATTTCATTAAAAGTCAACTGATTGGAATGCATGTAAAGGAGGAATGGTTGAACAAAATGGCTTACTTGATGCACTGCAAGACAGGTGAACTCCTATTCAAATATCTTAGGGTGATGATTGGGGGAAATAAAAGGAAATGGGAAATGTGGCAACCATTGATTAAAGTATTCCAAAAAAAATTGACAAAATGGAAAAGAAGATGGCTGCCTTTTGGTGAAAAAATCACGCTATTGCAGTCAATGTTCTTGTCACTCCCACTTTTCCTTATGTCCGTCTACCTCGTCCCAAAAGGTATTTTAAAAATTATTAATAAAATCAGGAGTGATTTCCTATGGGGGTTGTGGGGAAAATAAAAAAACTCATTGGGTTAATTGGAAGAGGAAATGTCTAAGAAAAAAGGAGGGGGCGGTTAGGAATCAAAGACCTTAGATGTTTTAATCTCACTTGACTTGGCAAATGGTGGGGGAGATTGGCAGAGAGAAGAGAGAGTATGTGGTTATCAATTATCAAAGAAAAATATAGTGGTGGAGATGAAAATTGGGAAAATTGGGTTAGAGAGGGCAGGGGGAGAGGATCAAGCGAGTGGCAAGATGAATGTAGAATAGACGTAGTTAAGGAAAATCAACATAGATGGTTGTCTAAAGGTTTCAAAATAGTTGTAGACTAGGGAAGGAATGTTAGTTTTTAGAAGGATGAATGGAGGAATTTTGGAGAGCTAGCTAACATATTTCCAAGATTATATTTACTCTCTACAAGTAAAGACAACAAGCTGAACCAAATGGCATGCTAGGAAAAAGGATTATGGAAGTGGAATCTCCAATAGAGATGAGCTCTACACATGGGAACAAGACAAGGTGAAGGAGTTGGACAACATTCTACAGAACATAACACTGCAGTAGGGGGAAAGAGACTCGTGGAGGTGGAAATTTAATTCTAGCGGAAAGTACTCCTCAAGCTCAGGATACCCAAGACTAGTTATGATTGAGAACACGCCTCACAAAAGAACCTACAAAAGGGTATGGAATCTTGTCATCCCTCATAAAATATGTGGATTTGTTTGGCAATTAATTATTGATAGGTTGCCAACTAAGGCTAATTTATTTAAAAGAAGGATTTTAAAAGATACTCAGGAAACTACTTGCTCCTTGTGTGATGAATATGTTGAAGACAACAGCCACTTGATTTTGCATTGTAAAATTTCCTCCTAGGTATAGGAACATTGTTATAGATGGTGGGAAGCAAAAACTATAACAAAAAAAAAAATGTGTGGGAGGCATTTGAGCAGCATGATGGGTTGATGATTAAAGGAAAAATGAAGACGAGATGGGAAGCTATGTGGTTTGCAGTAGTATGGACAATTTGGAATGCTAGAAATGAAAGAATTTTCAAAAACAATTCAATTGATGCTAAAAGAATGTTTGATTCTATTGAAATGAAGACTCATCAATGATTAAGAAATAGAGAGGATGATTGGAGATATTCATTAGCTGATTGGATTCTAAATCCAAGGGCCTCTTAATGTAGTTAAGGACCAAGTAGAGGTAGTGGCTTTCTAAAGGTCCTCTAATTGTTCAAAACCTCTGTTTTTGTAGTTGAATTACCTTGTTGTGTAAACAGGTTTAAGTACCCCTTGTACTCAATTTATATATTTGCTTTTCATAAAAAAAAAAAAATGCACAACACAATCTAAGTTATGGTCACAACTCATCATAATAATCTCAAACACATTTTAAAACGACCAGAAGCTGCAGTAGATGGAAAAACGAAAAAGTGAGGCTGCAACAAATCCTAATGTAGTTGCCTACAGAATTTTGTAAAGAAACCCTAAATTTTATTGTATGGATGAGATATATATATTTTTTTTAACAGAAACTTAATCATGGTATTAAATAATAATTATTTTAATCTTAAATATAGGCAAATTTTTCTAAAATAATAAGAATTTAATGGTTTTTTAAATAAAAATTAACAAATAAATTAAAACAACCATTTTAAAGAAATTTTGCAAGTAAATTGAAACAAAGGGACTCATTTCATAACTATTCTACTTAATCCCTCTCGCGGCCACCATTCCTTTCCTTACTCTAAACTGCATAAATCTTTCCACCAATTGGTAGCCCCTCCTCTTACTCTCATCTCTCCTCCCAAAGCCCCATCTTGATTCGAGAACCCTCCTCAACAAAGCTCCATTTTCGTGCAAATGTTCGCAGGATCTGGTAATAATCATCGTAAACATTAATTAGAAAGAATAATAGACGTTAATCCCTCCCTTCTTCTAAACCTTCCCTTTTCCTAAATTCGCCTCATTTTCATAGTTTAATTGGTACACTAAAATATGAATTATGAAAGCACGAAAACAGATTCACTCCGGTGGTAGGAATACCACCCATAACAAACAAGTTTTCATAATGGAGCGAAAAAGACTACCACTTCAAATGACAAATCGTTGCTAAAATTAAAATGTTGATAGAAAAATCATGGCAGTCAATAATCAACAGAAAAAATGTGTCAAGTCATCCTGTATCATGGTGGCCATTGAAAAAATAAAATCCAATAGTGGCTAAGATCCCATTGATGAGAACAGTACAGTTCAATGCAAAATTTCATTGATAAGATATTAGGCAGTGCCCGCATTTAAGCAGCAGCACCGGCACCCTTGCCCTTCTTCCTCTGGATTTTCTTCATGTAGAAATCCAGCTCTTTACCCTCCAATATGTACCTATCAAGTTCAAAAGGAAAAATTAGTAAAAGGACACATAAGAAAAT